GATCCCCTTCCTAGTTCTTCCTTGAAACCATCTGTTGCTTTGTAAAGATCTTTGTAAGCAAACTGGATTAAATTACATTCCAAAGCGACATTCTTTGTGCAAGTTCCAACTAATATCTCCTTTTTCAAGGCAAACAAACCTAAGCATTTGGAACCCAGCAATATGAAGATGACAAACACAGAGCAGCCCAAGAGTGCAGACATGACAACAATTATTGTGGTTTGTTTCTTTCGTGTTCTATTATCATCAGGGGAGCTCTCGAGTGAGACATTACTTTTTCTTAATTTAAGGAAAGAAACGGATGTAATACTTGCATCCTGTCTCCCATATGTGAGCGGTGGCCTTTTCTTCCAGCAATCACGGCCTCCAAACACCGCTAGCACGCAAAGGCAATCTTGCAGGCAAGAACTTTTGCAGTCTTGTTCATTTGAAGTGGGAAAACGCTCATAATCATTCATTGGCCAGTTAGTCTTTGGAAGATCCACCATCTCATACAGGTTATGGTTGAAATTGGCAGCACCTTCTTCTTCTCCTTCACAACCTTGTGTAAAATCAGGTGTGCAGTTACCAAACTCATCGTTTGGATCAACCAAGGAATAACCCTGTGCACAATTACAACTTGGCCTTCCATTAGATTTCAGTGTGCAAATACTGTTGAATCCACAGGTTCCAGAGCCAAGTCTTTCAATTGGATTTACATTAGAAAGACAGATATTGTCAGGTATTCTAAACAAATCTTTCCAGCTTCCATTGGCAACTCCACCAGAGCCCTTGGGGTAAGAACTTACAGTCAAAACTCCATCAAAGTTCATGGTGGCTTTGTAATAATAAGCCTCAATTGGGTTACCATCACTAAGCTGTGTAATGTTAACTTTTACTCCATTATTTTTCAGAACATACAGAAATCCATGTTCATCAAAAATCACTTGTTTCCCAGAATTCTGTGTGCTCGAAGAGTCAAAAGTGTTGCTAATATAGTATGCATCATACGGATAGCCAGAGGGCAAATTAATGGTGTTCGAAACAGCATTTCCATCTCGAAGCAAACGAAACTGAAATCTTCCGAGTGAGAAGTTACCTTGCGATTTGCGAGAGGAGATGACGCCTCCAATCTCCAATTTCTGCGTCGGAAGCAACGTGTCTGTTGGATAGGTGAAGCTCT